TAAACAATTATTCAACAGTTATGAATACCTTGAATACAAGTTGTAAGCTTAGAACAAGTACCTCAGCGGGAAAAACATTCAACATGTTTCTAAGACATTGAAGGTGAGGAAACATCATTCACAAATGATGTCTTGTGCACAAGTATATTAGTTTCCAGAACACTGGGAAAAACCATAAACCATACAACGAATGAATTTCAACTGCTTAACCTTCTACCATTCTCTTGAGTATTAAGCCCAGGCCACCCTTGGCCACTTGCAGGGGTGTCTTTTCTTCTTTGTTCTCAACGTAAATACTTGCTCCTTGGGACACCAACAGTTTTGCTTCTTCCAGTCTCTCTTCATCACAGGCTAAATGTCCTTGGCTGCTGCCCGGTGCATTGCTGTAGCCTCAGAATGGTCCTTAGAATATGGATTAGCCCCACCTTCCAGTAACACGACGGCAATCTCATGCCTGTTCTTGGAAGCTGCATAGTGCAGAGGAGTACAGCCATTTTGATTGACAGCATTTACTTGAGCACCTTTTCCCAGAAGGGCTTTTACGATCTCATCTCGGCCAGCAGAAGCAGCAATATGAAGAGGTGACCAACCTGCATCATCTTTATCATTCACTGACACTCCAAGTTGCAGCAAGAATTCAACTATTTCTGTATGTCCTGCGGAGCATGCCCAGTGCAATGCAGTTCTGTTATCCTGATCGGTTCGAGTAGCCAGGGATTTATCGGCCAGGATGATCTCCTTCAACTCCTCCAGCTTCCCGTTGTAGGCCAGGTTGCATACCGTTAGGTTCGATACACACCCCTCCATTTCGCTTTCTTCACGCTCTCTCTGAAGCTGTTACTCTTGATCTGCGTGGCCTTCATGAGTCTTGTTTTTAACCTCACATGTTTGGTGAAGGTTTACACAACAGTTCAGGTTCCCATTCAACCATTTCTACACAGCGTCTCCAGCTCCCGTGCCCCCAGACCTCCTCCCCAAACCCTTGCTCTCCCCCTGAGCACCCTCTTCTCAGGCTGGAGTCCTGGACTCTGTGCCACGCTTGATGCATCTGGTGTTCACTCACCAAATGTGCTTTGCACCAGTTACATCTTTTTTACCAAACCTGCATTGGACATGGTGTTTACTAGGAAGAAAAATTGATTTGATCTTCAGTTCTTTGCTGGAATGTTATTCATTTGCTATGATCTCAAAGGCTTATTAACCACCAGGAAAGGATATGCTGGAACTTGGCAGTCGTTAAACAGTGCTGGCTTTGACTGTGGACAGTTGGAAGACGAACCATGCAAAATTGGTTCAGTGGGAACTTTGGACAAGATCCTGCTATTTTCCTAGCAATTACCAAGACTTACCAAATTTACAGTTAAAACAAAGCAGAACAAACCCCCCCAAAATGTACACGCTCTTAAGGACAGTCATTTACCTTTTTGGACAGTGCAGCAGTCAGTGGTCAGCTTTACCCTGTCGTGGGCCTGGCTACCACAGTAAGAAGCATGACGTTATCGTCTGAGGGAGGAAAGCAGAAATCACCGCAAGTGCCCATGGGGGTTTTGCAGTGCAGAGTTGGGCCAGGCTGACTTCCTTTGTAGGACATTCATTTGAGGATGTGCAAGGTTTTGAACCAGTTCATTCCAGTTTAACCCTCTCCTAAAAATTTGCATCTGCACCCAGATAGAGTAAGACAGAATCTATATCCAAACAAGATACGCCGGTGGTATTTATGTGTACCCACAAGACTCTTGCTATCCTGTAATGTGCCCAAAACAAGCCCACTGTGTGGGTCCTTCTTTGTGACTCATTGTGACCCTCCAACCTGTTTCTGAGACTACCTCGTTTTTCTCGCTAAGAGGAGCCAGTGGATTCAAACTTCTGACCTTTCTGTTAGCAGATTTTGTGTTGTATGAAAGGAGAGGTTAGCACTCCCCTTGACAAGGATGGAAGAGGCCCTTTGGGCCTTTACAACACGCATACGGTTAAGGCATTGCCACCTACTTCGTGGCATCTGTTAGCAGATTTTGACACATTATGCGCCATGCCACCAAGTTCCCATCCTATAATAAGGATATTGTTAAAATGTAGATTCTGATTGGGCCTTTCTGGGGCCAGATCTCAGCAGGATGTTGAACTGTGTGAGGTGGGCTGAGGCCTGGCATGGGTGAGTCACTTGACCCTTGGCCTCACCTGCTCGGTACCTGATGACTCCTTTTCTCTGTTGCAGATGATGGGAGGCAAGGGCCTGAAACAGGCCACAGAAGCTGCCATATTAAATGCCAACTACATGGCCAAGCGACTGGAAAAACACTACAGAGTCCTTTTCAGGGGGGCAAGAGGCAAGTATTAGCTTCATTCTGTCCTCCATCACTTTGATGGGTTCTCTGCCAAGCCAAGTGGGTCTTAGGAGATGTGATTTTCTTACCCTGCTGGGCATCTCCAGCTTCTAGCACACACCAGGCAGAAGTGTAGAGTCCATGGAGGGAGATCTTCAGTGGAGTGAAGATCTTAGGGTGTCACTATAGACGTGTGGGGAGGATGGCCTTTGTGTCTCCACAACCCATGTCAACAAGGAGCCCACACAATGGAGAGACATCGGTGTAGGATGTGCCCTCATTCCTAACAAAGTACTGCAGGAAATCGTGGAATCATGTGGAGGGGAGAGGCCAAGGAGCCCTGGGGGTGGGGGGCAGTGAATTAAGTGATGGACTGAAAGTTTGGCAGTTGAAACCCTTCAGCCACTCTTTGGGGGTGAAATGAGACACTATACTTCTATAAAGATACCAATCTCAGAAACCCAATGGGAGTGTCCTCTAATTTTGTATTCTTCAGGGGTCACTGTTGGATTTGGCAGTGGGTTTGGTTTGACCAGGTAGAGGCTGCGTGGAAGAGTGAAGGAAGCCTCCTGGGAGAGGTCATAAGAAAGAGCCTGGAAGGGAAGGTAGAACCAGAGGGAGCGGGAGAAAGAGGCGCGATTGGCTGGAGTACCAGAGGCTTGAAGGTTGAGAGGAGAGCGAGCAGATGGGTCTGAGGGTGGAGATTTAGTGTGGGCCTGGCCGTCCTGGAGAGCTCTGGACTTTACCCCTCGGCCAGAAGGTAGTTATTAACTTCTTTTTGGTGTTGAAATACGCATAGCAGAATACACACCAACTCAGCAGTTTCTCTGTTTGCCATTCAGTGCCACTTGTGCAGCCAGCCTCACCTTGGTTTTTCCTCCCCTCTGACACAAACTCACTGCCCTCTGCTTCCTGTCTAACCTTTCCCATTTCTGTGGTCAATTTGAGCCCATAGCGATCTCTCTCTCTCTCTCCTCTCCTTCTCTCTGTCCCTCCCTCCCTCCCCCTACTCTTTTTCTCTCTCCTTCCTTCCT